AAAGAGGTGTCCAAGGCAAGCATACGAGCATGTCAAAGGGACTAAAATTATGCTATAAATGGTTCCAAACCATCAAAACAAGTCGAGTAATGCATGCTACACACTCAAACACTTAAGGCCAACAAGCCAAAATACAAAGGGGCTATACAATGCATGCCAAAGTTGAGCCAAACGACCATGGACAGACCTCTAGCATGGCAAAATAGGCACAAAAGCTTCACAAAGCTAGAGCTAAAACATGCTTGAACAGTGGTTTACAACCTAAGGCATGTTAAGGCCTAAACAATGCATTACAAGGTAGGTATGCTAAGCATGCATGGTGTACCAAAATCAACAAAAAATAGAGGCATATTATGACATAATAACCACAAAAATCAACTAAGGCATGGTCAACATGAAGCTTAGCTAGGTGCTCCCCCAAAGGGCCAAAAATTGTCCTTTACAAGGACAACAAGGAGAGGGGGTGGCCCTCTCCTCCCTAGGCAAGTTTCTTACCCTTGAAGACTTTCTTCAAAAATGGTGGACCAGCTGGTTCTTCAAGCTCAAAACCACCCAAGAACTTCAAGAACAACCTTTTGGAACCTCAGTAGCCAAGGGAAGGTGTAACACTATGTGTTTGTGTGCAATAGTAAGACACAAATGCACAGACACACACAAAGGTAAAATGAGAGAAAGGTATAGAGATAGAATATGTATGGAACCCTAAACCTAAAACCAGAGCTCTCACACAACTTTTCTCTCTAAAATGTCTAACCCTAGAACAAGGAGAAGAGCTCTCCTCTTATAGAAGTCCTCCTTTGCAAAGCTTTCAAAACAAGCTTCTTAGAGGGAAATCCCTCCATACATGTGTATGGAGGGAAGCAGAGTGGGTGCCAGCTATCACAGTTGGCACAAAATATCTACAAAAAGTAGATGAACAGTAGTCGGCTGCTCAAAATTGCCATTTTGACAAAATGGACTGCCGACCGGCAACAAATAGTGCTGACCGGCAGTACACATTGCCGATGGAAACAAAACACCAGCCGGTGGCCTCAGGCCATGGCCGGTGATTTGTGGGGATGCCTCACAACGCATTCCCTGCCCCTCCAAGGCAAAACACAAGTGTTTGGTGCAAAACCAGACACTAAACAGTCGAGTTCGGAGATCCTGAGGCAAGGCGCGTAGCCGAGACCTC